TGTGCGAAAGAAGTCCAGTGACTCTGAAGCTGGCCCTAGTGGCATTAAAAGAAGAAGGGAAGTAACCCCAGAAAAGGACTTGCTACCTCAAGTCCTAATGGAAGGGGATTCCCCTTCTAAACACTAACACTCTCTCTCCCCTCCTCCCATCCCATCAATCATCACCAGATCTTCAATAAAAGTAAGTGTCATGTAAGTGTGCATGCCTTTTTCAGTTTGTGTGTATTAAAATTAACATTTCATGTGGTAAAAATTTTTTTTTTTTCATACTTTTGGGTGTCTTGCACGGATTAATTTTATTTCCATTATTTCTTATGGGGAAAATTCATTCACATACCGATTATTTCGCATAACAATTACCCCTCTTGCACGGATTAAAATCGTTAACCGGGGGTCGACTGTATTTGGTAATAAACTGAAGACTGGCGCATACAGTCTTAAATTTATTGAAAATAAAGTGTGGATCAGCAATATGCACACTGACCAGCATGAACAGGTGAGACTGGTATTATAATGGATTCGCCTGAGTTAGCTGCAGCAACAGTCAAAATGCATAAGCGATATCACTTAAACCTTGAGTGTTGAGGCAATTGGTTTGTGACGTCGTATACGTGTGTGGGTGTGCATGCATGAAAGCGCGGGTCATTCCTGTTGTTTAGTGTAGTAGGCATGAACCGCTGAGCTGATTAGTTGTGTCTTTCGTCCTGCAGTGTTTTACAGGTGTGGTGGAAGCTGATTTGTTTTTCTGCTATACAATGTAATATAAAAGGAAGCTGGAAGGAGGATTAGAATAGTGTGAAATATTTCTGGTCAGTTGTTAAGCTGCTGTGTGCTGTGTTGTGTTGTGTGCTGTGTTATGCTGCTGTGTGCTGTATTGTGCTGGGGCTGGGGTGGGGCTGTGTTGTGGCTGTTGTGTGTGCTGTGGTGTGTTGTGCGCTGGTGCTGTGTGGTGGCTGTGTTTGTGCTGTGTGCTGTGTTGTGCTGCTTGCTGTGTGTGTGCTGTGTGCTGTGTTGTGTGTGGCTGTGTATGTTGTGGCGTGTATGCTGTGTGTGCTGTGTTGTGCTCTGTGTGCTGTGTTGTGCTGCTGTGTGCTGTGTTTGTTGTGTGCTGTGTTATGCTGTTGTGTGCTGTGTTATGCTGTTGTGTGCTGTGTTGTGCTACTGTGTGCTATGTTGTGCTGCTGTGTGCTGTGTTGTGCTGTGTGCTTGTGCTGTGTTTTCTGCTGTGTGCTGTGTTGTGCTGTGTGCTGTGTTGTGCTGCTGTGTGCTGTGTTGTGCTGCTGTGTGGCTGTGTTGTGTTGTGTGCTGTGTTATGCTGTTGTGTGCTGTGTTGTGCTACTGTGTGCTTGTTTGTGCTGTGTGCTGTGTTGTGCTGCTGTGTGCTGTGTTGTGCTGTGTGCTGTGTTGTGCTGCTGTGTGCTGTGTTGTGCTGTGTGCTGTGTTGTGCTGCTGTGTGCTGTGTTGTGCTGCTGTGTGCTGTGTTGTGCTGCTTGTGTGCTGTGTTGTGCTGCTGTGTGCTGTGTTTTTTTGCTGTGTGTGCTGTGTTGTGTGCTGCTGTGTGCTGTGTTGTGCTGCTGTGTGCTGTGTTATGCTGCTGTGTGCTGTGTTGTGCTGCTGTGTGCTGTGTTGTGCTGTTGTGTGCTGTGTTGTGCTGCTGTGTGCTGTGTTCTGTTGTGTGCTGTGTTGTGCTGTGTGCTGCGTTGTGCTGTTGGGTGCTGTGTTGTGCTGCTGTGTGTTGTGTTTGTGCTGTTGTGTGCTGTGTTGTGGGTGCTGTGTGCTGTGTTCTGTTGTGTGCTGTGTTGTGCTGCTGTGTGCTGTGTTGTGCTGTGTGTGCTGTGTTGTGCTTGCTGTGTGCTGTGTTGTGCTGTGTGTGCTGTGTTTGTTGCTGTGTGTGTGTTGTGCTGTTGTGTGCTGTGTTGTGCTGCTGTGTGCTGTGTTGTGCTGTTGTGTGCTGTGTTGTGCTGCTGTGTGCTGTGTTGTGCTGCTGTGTGCTGTGCTGTGCTGCTGTGTGCTGTGTTGTGCTGTGTTATGCTGTTTGTGAAACTGATGGTGTTTTATTATTGCATGTGTATTATCATCTGCTTTTTCATATAGTATTAATCCCAAACTCAACATATAATAAATGTATTTCGTTATATTGTCCACAGATATAAATACAGTGGACCCCCGGTTAACGATATTTTTTCACTCCAGAAGTATGTTCAGGTGCCAGTACTGACCGAATTTGTTCCCATAAGGAATATTGTGAATTAGATTAGTCCATTTCAGATCCCCAAACATACACGTACAAACGCACTTACATAAATACACTTACATAAGTGGTCGCATTCGGAGGTGATCGTTATGCGGGGGTCCACTGTATATGGCAATGGCAGGAATGAATGTTAAGCGCAAGCATTCACTGAACTACACTAAATTCGGCTTCACCTGTCAAGAAAAAGATGGCATGGAATTACCACAGTGTTATTTGTTTCAAAATTTTGAGGAATGACTCACTGAAGCAGCTAAGCTTAAACTCCATCTCAAAAAGTGCCACCCCAATTTGTCGCAAAAGGATAAAGATTATTTCGAGCGGCAGCTAGCACTTTATATGCCTTGATGAGACAAGTACATTCCATGAAGAACCACCAGTGCAGTGCTCGCTTCCTACACATTGTTGCATACAAAGTCACACAAGCCAAGAAGCCTCATACGATTGTAGAGAAGCTTGTGCTACCCTGTGCAAAAGAAATGGTGAAGCTTGTTGTTGGCGAGGACACAGCACGGAAGCTGAAAGATATCAGTTTCTAATGATGCAGTGTCGAGACTGATAAATGAGATCTCACTAAACATCAGTTTAGCCATGTTTGCCATACACCTGGATGAATCATCTGTCTTCTCAGCTATTGGTATTTGCATGATACATGGATGAGGGAAACTTCAAAGATGAGATTCTCTTTTGTAAGACTCATGATACCACACGGGCTCAGGATGAGTTAGAAATTATTAACAATTTCTTTGAGGTAAATGGTCTGGATTGGGTAAATTTGGTGGATGTTACCACTGATGGTGCACCTGCAATGCTAGGCTCAAGATCAGGCTTTCAGGCATTGGTGAAACAGCGTGCTCCATTGATAACTGGAGCTCATTGTTTCATTCACAGAGTCAATGGCATCAAAAACACTACCTGATCACCTAAACACCATTTTCAAAGGATTGGCGAAGGTGGTTAATTGCATCAAATTGTCAGCAGTAAACACCAGACTGTTCAGAAAATTATGCCAGGACATGGGTTCCGACTTTGAGGTGTTGCTGTTCTACGCTTCTGCATGGTGGTTGTCAGCAGGGAATGTAGTCAACAGAATGTTTGAATTGAGAGAAAAATTTATTCTATTTCTCCAGTCTCAAGGGAAAGAAGGTTTTACAAATATGCTAGAACTGTCAGAATTAGAACTAGCACACCTTGTCGATATTTTTGGTATCTTTAACAAACTGAATCCTCAGCTGCAAGGGAAAGGAGCAAATCTGTTCTCTCGCCAAGGAATCATCAAGGCTTTTCTTGAGAAATTAGAATTTTGGATCGGAAGTCGAAGGTAAAAATTTTGTTCAATTTTCTTATGTGGATGTCATGTTAGGGAAAAAGGGAGCCATTCAGGTACATATTCTCAAGCATTTACAAAAGCTGTGGGATGAATTTCAGCGATACTTTCCGGAGGTAGACATGAAAAGGGATGGTTTTCTTTCATCAGGAATCCATTCGTAACAGATGTTCATGGTGTTTCAGAGACTATGTAGGAGGAGTTCTTGGACCTGAAAAATGATCTGGCAGCTAAAGACGTGTACCAGTGGTCTACCACGGAAAAATTTTGGGCCAGTGAGAGTGGATTTTCATGTTTGTTGCAAATTAAGTTTAAACAGAGGAATTGGCTTGCAGTTGAAAGCGATATTCGTTGTGCATTATCAAGTACCACTCAAAACATTGATAAGCTTGTCAGTGAGAAGAGAATCCAAAAGTCTGGTTGCAACGAAAAGTGAAATACAGTGGACCCCCGCATAACGATCACCTCCAAATGCGACCAATTATGTAAGTGTATTTATGTAAGTGCGTTTGTACGTGTATGTTTGGGGGTCTGAAGTGGACTAATCTACTTCACAATATTCCTTATGGGAACAAATTCGGTCAGTACTGGCACCTGAACATACTTCTGGAGTGAAAAAATATCGTTAACCGGGGGTCCACTGTAATCATATTTCAAAGAAAAATGTTGGCTGTGTACTTCATAATATCAAAATTATGTTCGTTAGAAAGAAATTTCACAGCAAAATGTTAGATAAATATTCATTTATTTCCAGTAAATTGTTTGTATGAAATATATTTCAGATCAAAATGTTAGATATTTATTATTTTACATAATTTGCCTTTACATATTACTCAAAAAATGAAATGGTCCACGATATTTTTATAATTGGGTTGATCCATGGGCTGAAACGAGTTGGGAACCACTGCTCTATTGTTTATTTCGATACATATACAGTACACTACTGTATAAACATTTGATAATATACAGTGGTACCTTGAGTTTCGTACAGCTCCCAACTCGAACAATTATGTAAGTGTATTTTTGTAAGTGCTTTGTAAGTGTATTTCAGGGGGTCTGAAACGGACTAATTAAATTTACATTATTCCTTATGGGAACAAATTCGTTCGGTATCGGCACTCGAACAGCCTTCTGGAATGAATTAAGTTCGTAACTCGAGGTATCACTGTACCAGAAATGTTATAAACAGTGCAAGCGCTGTATAGCCCTTGTGGCTTAGCGCTTCTTTTTGATTATAATAATAATATAAACAGTGCAAAGGTGACATTAAAACAATATCAAAGATGGTTCACACAAACCTATTACCATTGTAGTATGCTCCTCACTTAGCAACAAATTTGTTTGCTGATGTGGCCTTAGGAACGGAACTTTGTCATTAAGTGAGGAGAGGCTGTAAATGATTACAAGAATGTTAGAACTTACTAGCTAAATCTGGCTTCCTGAAGTTGTCCTCTTAACAAGTTTAAAAGTTTCTATCCAGATAGGATGATGATGATGCCTTCTTTCCACGTGTGATAGTCCAGTTCTGTAAAATATAATTATATAATCAATCCTTCCTCCGTACGTCATGCTTGTCATAAGAGGCAAATAAAATGCTGGGAGCATTTCGGTGACCTTTCCTGAGGCCTTTTAGTTGCCTCTTATGTACTAAATGTGCAAAGAAGTGTTTCTTCTTTTCAGGGTTGCTCAACATCGGTAAGCAATGGCTGGTGTTAAAAAAAAAAAAAACAGACAAGCAAACTGTTTTATGTCTGACGAGTAAATTTAATGAGTAACAGTACGTATATTTAACCCTTAAATGGTCCAAACGTATATACAGTGGACCACCGCTTAACGGTCACCTCCCAATGCGACCAATTATGTAAGTGTATTTATGCAAGTGCGTTTGTACGTGTATGTTTGGGGGTCTGAAATGGACTAATCTACTTCACAATATTTCTTATGGGAACAAATTCGGTCAGTACTGGCACCTGAACATACTTCTGGAATAAAAAAATATCGTTAACCGGGGGTCCACTGTATACGTTTTTTCAACATCTGAAAGTATGTAAAAAAATGTAGATCTTCTTTTTTGTTTTACATTTGAAAACGTGTAAAAAAACTTTTATCTACATTTTTTTTTGTTATATTTGAAAATATGTAAAAAAAAGTAGATCTACTTTTGTAGCTACGAATTTGAACGTCGATCTGATTGGACCGTTTAAGGGTTAAACTCCTGTGGTTTATACAGAATAACTCGGCAAGGTGCGGGTGCGGGATTACCAAAACTGTTGTCCAGAGGGCTGAGGAAGGGTTGTTGAGGTGGTTCGGACATGTAGAGAGAATGGAGCGAAACAGAATGACTTCAAGAGTGTATCAGTCTGTAGTGGAAGGAAGGCGGGGTAGGGGTCGGCCTAGGAAAGGTTGGAGAGAGGGGGTAAAGGAGGTTTTGTGTGCGAGGGGCTTGGACTTCCAGCAGGCATGCGTGAGCGTGTTTGATAGGAGTGAATGGAGACAAATGGTTTTTAATACTTGACGTGCTGTTGGAGTGTGAGCAAAGTAACATTTATGAAGGGGTTCAGGGAAACCGGCAGGCCGGACTTGAGTCCTGGAGATGGGAAGTACAGTGCCTGCACTCTGAAGGAGGGGTGTTAATGTTGCAGTTTAAAAACTGTAGTGTAAAGCACCCTTCTGGCAAGACAGTGATGGAGTGAATGATGGTGAAAGTTTTTCTTTTTCGGGCCACCCTGCCTTGGTGGGAATCGGCCAGTGTGATAATAAAAAAAATAATTCGGCAAGGTCCTGCAATGTTAAGTTTTGCTTGAACGTAGATGACTGCATGTAAACAACAAATGCTGCTTCCATTACTAATGGAAATAAGAGAGAAATGAAGTACAGGATGGCCATTACTAATCTGGCATCACCGGGACCTGTAGGATACCAGATTAGTTATTTTGCTGGGTTACAGAGTGGTTGGGTTAGAATACACTTAACCCAATGGCGATATTTATGCATCAGCAATTGCCACTGCTTTACGCCCTATTTTTGCCCCATTCCATAGCTCAAGTCATAGCTATTTCACTAGTATTCTTTCTGTCGACCGAGTACAAGAAACCACCCATTTACCTATTTCAACTACCCAATAAAGTGGTCAGAAATCAGTAATTTGGCCAATTTCACACAAATTTCATGAGATGCCAATTTTAAAATAGGGCCCAGAATAAACAGTGCAGACATTCCTGGCACTAAAGTAACATTTTCTCTGTTCATTAATCACGTCTCCAGGTCCCTCTTATATTACTCTTGCTTTCCATTTTGAATTTTTATTCACACAAAAAATTAGAAGATTTATTGTTATGCAGACTACTGCATTACAGTAATAATTGTATAAATAATGTCAACACATTTGTGACTGCATATTAGACTGGCTAGCCGGACACGTACTGGATGGTCACGTCATTTGTTTACTCTTGAAAATCTGCAAAAATAGAATTTCCGCTACTTTGAGCTCAATTTAAGGTACTTTCCAGCATGGAACCAATTAAAATTACAGTGGACCCCCGGTTAACGATATTTTTTCACTCCAGAAGTATGTTCAGGTGCCAGTACTGACCGAATTTGTTCCCATAAGGAATATTGTGAAGTAGATTAGTCCATTTCAGACCCCCAAACATACACATACAAACGCACTTACATAAATACACTTACATAATTGGTCACATTCGGAGGTAATCGTTATGCGGGGGTCCACTGTATATCTATTTCTGTAATATATCTTCCATTCTATCAAGTGAAACCAAAAAACCGAGAATACAACCATACAAACCATATAAAAATACGCTGCAAAAATGGTGTTTTACACCAAAAGCACAGTCTCCTTTTATTCTCATTTACTGGGTATTGCAGGATTTTTTAACCCTTAAATGGTCCAAACGTATATATACGTTTTTTTCAACATCTGAAAGTATGTAAAAAAATGTAATCTTTTTTTTTTGTTTTACATTTGAAAATGTGTAAAAAAAAATTTTATCCACTTTTTTTTTTTCGTTATATTTGAAAATATGTAAAAATAAGTAGATCTACTTTTGTAGCAATACGAATTTGAACGTCGATCTGTTTGGACCGTTTAAGGGTTAATACAGTGGACCCCCGGTTAACGAACTTTTTTCATTCCAGAAGTATGTTCAGGTGCCAGTACTGACCGAATTTTTTCCCATAAGGAATATTGTGAAGTAGATTAGTCCATTTCAGACCCCCAAACATACACGTACAAACGCACTTACATAAATACACTTACATAATTGGTTGCATTTGGAGGTGATCGTTATGCGGGGGTCCACTGTATAGTGCACACTTACCACACAGACCTATTCTCTTATATGTAAGCTCCTCTCTATGTGCAGGTTACTTGTGTATTTTGTAAAGCCACTTTATCTTTCTTGGACAATGCATCGTATATGTACTTTACACAACGAGAAGCATTTCTTTTATTCGTTGGAACCATGGCTAGGGCTAAAAGTGAGCAGGTTATGACAATAAATGGAGAAAAAGAAACTGACTTACGCAGCAAGCAACACCACCAAACAGTAGCAGCAGGTTAGTGTGGCAACCACGGAAATTTGAAATTATGCTAGCCATAATTAGTGCCGGATTACTGATTGCCGGATTAGTGATGGCCAACCTGCATTACAAAATCTTTTACCAACACTGTTTCACCAACACATTCACCCTTTTCATCATATGGAATTGAGCCATACCATCTGCCTCGCCTAAATCTACATAATATGAGCCATACCATCTGACTCGCCTAAATCTACATAATATGAGCCATACCATCTGACTCGCCTAAATCTACATAATATGAGCCATACCATCTGACTCGCCTAAATCTACATAATATGAGCCATACCATCTGACTCGCCTAAATTTACATAATCTACATAATATGAGCCATACCATCTGCCTCGCCTAAATCTACATAATATGAGCCATACCATCTGCCTCGCCTAAATCTACATAATATGAGCCATACCATCTGCCTCGCCTAAATCTACATAATATGAGCCATACCATCTGCCTCGCCTAAATCTACATAATATGAGCCATATCATCTGACTCGCCTAAATCTACATAATATGAGCCATACCATCTGACTCGCCTAAATCTATATAATAAATCCACATAATATGAGCCATACCATCTGACTCGCCTAAATTTACATAATCTACATAATATGAGCCATACCATTTGACTTGCCTAAATCTACATAATAAATCTACATAACTCTACATAATACCATTGTTAAAAGTCTAAAATATCTATTTTCTCGCAGTTCTAATGTACAAATTTGCATTACTGCCTGCAAAATATTTGTAGTTCCCTGAATAAAACTTATCTTGATGAATGAGACACTTGTAGAACACTTCTGGAACACTTAGGTATCTTTACTGAGGAAATGTGTTGCCAGCCAGATGCTTCATCAATAAGATACCCAAGTGTTGCCCAAGTGTCTCATTCATCAACCTGTTGGTTTTCTAAATCATTTATATAATAATATCTGTCAGACACAGCAATATCTTGGAATCTTCATACAGGGAATTCTTCAAGACTTGACTAACCTACAGGCATGATCCACTTCACTAGTGGATTTTGTCCAAGCATAATGCCACTTCCAACTGCTTCACCTCGCCTGTCTGCAGTATACACCTACCATCCGACTTACGACCTGCTCGACATACGACCACTTGACTTACGACCGTGTTTTTTATGCCAAATTTCTGGGAAATAAACAACTGTTTGTGTTGTACACAGTGTTTATCCTAAACCTTACAGTATAAAATACAGTACTAACAGCATAAAAAGTAAAGCAAAAAATGAAATACCAAAATAAAATAAAATAAAATTACAGTGGACCCCCGGTTTACGATGAGCTCCCAATGCGACCAATTATGTAAGCGTATTTATGTAAGTGCGTTTGTATGTGTGTGTTTGGGGGTCTGAAATGGACTAATCTAATTCACAATATTCCTTATGGGAACAAATTCGGTCAGTACTGGCACCTGAACATACTTCTGGAATGAAATAATATCGTAAACCGGGGGTCCACTGTATTACAAGTGTTGTTGATATTCAGTAGTAAGGTTCGACTTATGTCCATTTTGACTTACGACCGGTTGGTCGGAACCAAGCTTTGTCGTAAGTCAGATGGTACCTGTATATGCCCCTTCTCTGCATATACTGTAATTTTATCAAGATTAATGGCTGAAACACATTTCCAGACTAAGGGACTCGCTACCTCGTTCTCCTCCTCCTCATCTTCCACCAGTCTTTTATGTATTGGACAGTGTGAAGGCTTACTCAGCCCTGTAACAACTTCAGCCAGTATTACCAAGGCTGGCTCCTCCTCAGGAAAATTAATGTATAGAAAAAAAATAAAACTGACAAACATAAACACTTTATTATTTAGAAAATATAAAATATAAAACACTTAAATATGAAGTATTAATCCTACATTAACCCTTTCAGGGTCCAAGGCCCAAATCTGGAGTCACGCACCAGTGTCCAAGAATTTTAAAAAAAAAAATTTGTTATTTTTTCTTATGAAATCGTAGAGAATCTTTTTGTGAAGGTAATAAAACAAAAAGTACGAAATTTGGTGGAAAATTGACGAAATTATGCTCTCGCGAATTTTGATGTGTCAGCGATATTTACGAA